CCTGGATGGGGAATGGGGGCACAGTGGTGGGAAAATGAGTAAACCTTTTGGGTGCATCATATCCCTACTCACTAGCCAGAATAACTGAGCCAGGGTGTGTGTGTTTGCAGGGGAAGAGGAGGTGCAGCTGGTAAATTATTATTCTTCCCTCATCCCCGGGGAGTAAGGAGTAAGCAGGCATGACACAGAGGTCTGACTCCCAGTCACCATGCCTTCTGCAGCTATTCTTGGAGTGATGCAGCTTAAACACTGCCCCTTGCTCAGGGATATGCCTAAAGTTCCAGGCTAACCCCACGTGGTAAGAACTCAGGCTATGTTGACACAATTTCTTCTACATATGGAGCTATATGTTTTTTGTTTTGTTTTTTTTAAAACAGTAACAAATGGGCTGTGGTGAATATAATTCCATTTGTGGTTTATATCTCCTCAAAATCCTCCATAAACCAATTTCCTAATACAATCATTCAAAGAAACACATTATCTATATAGGACACACAACATTTTTACGTATTGAGAGGAGGAGGGGAAAGTGTGCCCTCTCCAAGTAACAACATCTGCTAGTATCCCCATGTCTAGAGCATGAAGAAATATCCTGGAAGATTTTTCTCATCCCTATTGCACTAATTATTTTGAATATCAAATGATATCAAAATCAATTGTTTCCATGTTGCCATTTGCAACGTTCTATATTCTTAGCATCACTATTAAGTACATATGTGCAATATAAACAAATATATATTTGTTAAATATATATACACAACTATTTTTAGAGGCAACAGGTAACACCCACACCTCTCTTACCATGCTGTAGCACCAAGCATAAAAAACACACTTCCAGTTTCTTTCATTCTGTGTAATTACTGCAGTTATTCTGACACCAAGTGTCCACACTGGTGCATTACAGTCTTCCTAGATTGGTCACAGATTACAATGACTTGGAAAACAAATATTTCAACTTGCTGCTGAAATTGGAGGTAGTGGTGGACAACCCAGAGTTTGCATATGCCAATGCTTATCAATGATTTGTCAACATTTTATTTTGAATGATTTATGATTATGGAAAAATTTTGTATAGAAAAGGTTATGGGAAAATCTTGAATAAAATGATGGAAATAAAACTAGAAAATATTTTTTTTCTCTTTTGAAATGTTCAGCTACATGTATACTGTTTAATTTTCAATGGCTTGTTAAAAAAAATACACAGATGATTAGTGATATAAATAATTATCTCATAAAGAGTCACTGCTCCCTCCTGCATGGGCGGAGATGGGTTAATAGCCTCTGATGCATTGTCACATGCTTTCCTCACATCCCACAGATGCTTGCCATGGGGTGAAGGATGCACACAGAGAGGTAGCAGGGCACAGGCAGAGCAAGGTAAACAGGTACACTACAGAATCTCAGTCTCTGCCTCTATCTTTTCTGTAGAAAATATATACATTGCAGAACCCTACCCCTTTTAAATAGGCTCAAAGGCTGTTGTCAGTATGGAAACCATGACAGCACAGCTCAACCATATTGCATTGCCAAGGACCTGGACAGGTAAGGGGGGGGTGGGGGGAGTCCTGACCCAGTGCAAGAGTCACAAAGTCTCTGTGTAGATACCATCAGTGTGTTCTGTAAAACAACACCGCTACCTATTCTGCATGTAAGTGTGTGTGGGCGGAGGGGCAGGATGATGAGTTTGGGGGCAAGCACCTCATGACGTGATCCAGCCTACAGTGGTCTGCACTGCTGACCAACTTCAGAAAGCACTCACCCTTCCAGGTACAATGCTCAGAGGAGCTGAATGCAAGAAGCATTCATTCATTATGGTATAGAAGGGTACAGCTTGCTCAGGAAGGACACACAGGGGGAAAAATGGAGGAGGTGTTGCCCTATATATTATTAAAAAAAAAAAAAGTATATACTTGGACTGAGGTTGAGATGGAAATAGGAGACAGACTTGTTGAAAGTCTCTGCGTAAGGATAAAAGGGGTAAAAAACAAGGGTGATGTCATGGTAGGGGTCTATTACAGACCACCAAACCAGGAAGAAGTGGATGAGGCTTTTTTTAAAACAACTAACAAAATCATCCAAAGCACAGGACTTGGTGGTGTTGGGGGACTTCAACTATTCAGACATCTGTTGGGAAAACAACACAGCAGGGCACAGATTATCCAACAAGTTCTTGGAATTTATTGGAGACAATTTTTTATTTCAGAAGGTGGAGAAAGCTACTAGGGGAGATGCTGTTCTAGATCTGATTCTGACAATAGGGAGGAACTGGTTAAGAATTTGAAAGTGGAAGGCAGCTTGGATGAAACTGATCATGAAATGGTAGAGTTCATGATTCTAAGGAATGGTATGAGGGAGAACAGCGAAATAAAGAATGAATTTCAAGAAGGTAGACTTTAGCACACTCATGGAGTTGGTAGGTAAGATCCCCTGGGAAGCAAGTCTAAGAGGAAAAACAATTGAAGACAGTTGGCAGTTTGTCAAAGAGACATTATTAAGGGCAAAGAGCAAACTATCCCACTGTGTAGGAAAGAAATGAAGTATGGGAAGAGACCACCCCGGCTTAACCAGGAGATCTTCAATGATCTAAAAATTAAAAAAAAAGTCCTACAAAAGTGGAAACTAGGTCAAATTACAAAGGATGAATATAAACACCACAAGTACGTAGGGGAAAAATTAGAATGGCGAAGGCACAAAACGAGATCAAACTAACTAGAGACATAAAAGATAACAAGAAAATATTCTACAAATACATTAAAAGCAAAAGGAAGACCAAGGACAGGGTAGGCCCATTACTCAATGAGGGGAAAAAACAATAACAGAATATGTGGAAATGGCAGAGGTGTTTAATGACTTCTTTGTTTCAGTTTTCACCAAGAAGGTTGGTGGTGATTGGACCTGGGTGGTGATTGGACCCCGCACTCCGAACCCCCTTCCAGACCCCAACCCCCTGCCCCAATCCAGAGTCCCCTCCCACACTCAAACTCCCTCCCAGATCCTGCACCCTACACCTCTCCAACACCCCAACCCCCCGCCCCCGCCCCGGGCCCCCCCCCCCAGCACTCCAAACCCCTCATCCAAGGCCCCACCCCAGAGCCCATACCCCCAGCCGGAGTCCACACCCCCTCCTGCACTCCGAAAGCCTTGGCCCCAGGCCAGAGCCCCCTCCTGCACCTCAAATCCTTCATCCCCAGCCCCACCCCAGAGCCTGCATCCTCAGCCGGAGTCCTCACCCCCTCAGTACCCCAACCCCCTGCCCCAGCCCGGAGCCCTTTCCTGCACCCTGAACCTCTCATTTCTGGAGCCCGTACCCCCCCCCCATTTCCCCCCCCCCCCCCCCCCCCGCACACCAACCCTCTGCCCCAACCTGATTCCTCTCCTGCACCCCAAGCCCCTCATCCCTGGCCCCACCACAAAGCCCGCAGCCCAAGCTGGGGTCTTCACACACACCCCGCACCTCAACCTCCTGCCTGGTGAAAGTGAGTGAGGGTGAGGGAGAGTGAGCAACGGGAGGGGGGGATGGAGTGAGCAGGGGCGTGACCTTGGGGACAGGGATATTTGGTTTTGTGTGATTAGAAAGTTGGCAACCCTACTAGGGAGGCTGTGGAATCTCCATCATTGGAGATTTTTAAGAGCAGGTTAGACAGACACCTGTCAGGGATGGTCTAGATCAGGGGTAAGCAACCTAATGCACGCGTGCCGAAGGCAGCACGCGAGCTGATTTTCAGTGGCACTCACACTGCCCGGGTCCTGGTCACTGGTCCGGGGGGCTCTGCATTTTAATTTAATTTTAAATGAAGTTTCTTAAACATTTTAAAAACCGTATTTACCTTACATACAACAATAGTTTAGTTATATATTACAGACTTATAGAAAGAGACCTTCTAAAAAAACGTTAAAATGTATTACTGGCACACGAAACCTTAAATTGGAGTGAATAAATGAAGACTCGGCACACCACTTCTGAAAGGTTGCTGACCCCTGGTCTAGATAATACTTACTCCTGCCATGAGTCCAGGGGACTGGACTAGATGACCTCTCAAGGTCCCTTCCAGTCCTAAGAGTCTATGACTTCCATTTTCAGAAAGATTAAGAAAGCAATCTACATTTAATAAAAATAGCCTCAAAGACCCACACATTGACTTGATTAAGTTTAGGGTCACTCTGGGGCACAAGAGAAAGTCACTCGCTACATGTACACAGAGCACTAGACTACAGCTGCGTCTTGTTCAAACCCATTACTGTACATGAAACATAGAAAAGATTTGGTTTTTTATTCATTTTTACCCCAAAAATCTTGGGTTTTACAAAAACTATTATTTTACAAAAACAATTTTCACCTGAATTTTAGACCACCCAAATATGTGAAAATACTGGTTATGTTAAGAAAATCCAATACATTAGGTAGATGTGTTTATGTTAATAATAAATTGGCATAAGTGTAAATACGAGGCTGTCAATTCAAGTTAGGCAATGCAGAGGAAGATATGCACACGCATACGTGTGTGCATGTGTTAAGGTACAGTTCATTAAATAAACCACAGCATTAAACTGCCTTTACTTTCAATACTCTTACTTTTCTTTATTTGTTACATATTTTTCTGTTCTCCCTTCCCCCAGTAGTAACCCTGATATTTACCTAGAAAACTGTCGTCAAGTCAATTTTATGCACTGATTGTAATAAACACTGATAAATTCCAAGGAAATTTGCAAGAAAATAAAAACTGAAAATGAATATAGCTCACAAGTCAAATGAAACTGAACTACAGTTATAGTGAAACTTGAGCAAAAGACCATAGGTAGCGTCTTAACATCTTAAAGTACTCTCAAGGTTTCCAGTTCAACTTTGTTTTCCTATAGTTTAAAAACAAAACACTTCAATTCCTCTAGGCAACTAGGTTACCTAGGATAAATTTCACTGTGTTTGAAAAACAAACAAAACAATGCAGGCATGGTATTTCAATTTCCAGTTACAAGGGGTGGACAGTATGCATGTCACTCACCAAATGCTTTCATAGGCTCGATCAATGTTAGTTTAAATGTCTGACCCTTCTCCAGTCCTTTTAAAAGGTTGGCAACTTCATAATGACGATAACCCACCAAATTTTTTCCATTTATAGATTCTATATGATCACCCACGCATATCGCTTTGATTTGGTCGACAAGGCTGTCTTCTTTAATACGCTGTCAGATAAAAAAGCATTTATATTAGTTAGAAACAAAATTGTGAAAAAATAAACAGGTGGCACCTAATTCACTGCCGCTACAGATGAGTGAAACTCTAATGATATCAATGTAGTTGCACCTATTATTCCAACAGTGAATTCAGAACAAGAGGTTCTCATGTACCATGCCTTGACAAGCATTCAAAAATATTTAATATGCATTTAATATAAAAATCGCATTTAGATGTGGCACAAAATGCATTTTGAAATCTGCTTTAGAAATTAAGCTGAACTTTAAGTAGATGTTGGATTATTAAAAGGTTTTGTACTATAAACAATGTGTTTAAAATTGCCACACATCTCAGAACACCATATGTTCCCACACTTCCCGTGCACCTCAGACACACGTTACAGTATTTCCACTGAGATAACAATGAAGTTATGAAATCAATGTTCTTAATGGACATCTCACGGAAAACAAATCTAAAATTTATAAAATGTCTTTTATAACAGAAGTTAGTATTTTTTTTAATCTTATGGTGAATGAATTATAGAAAATAGAAAATCCCAAAGCATGTAAAGATGTCTAGCATTTGCATTATCAGAGCATTTCAGGGGCAGAATTTATAAATTTAGGACTTATAATTCAAATTTCAATTTTTATATGAATTAAAAGTATGTTGTAGTATTAGTTTTTCTATGCATGAATCCCATCTTTCATTCCCTTATTTTGGTGGAGAAACTATAACATAATAATACAACTTATTATCCTGAGTAGTTCGGGTGAGATAGGAATTTTATTCCAATCCTCTCCTGAAATACATACTACACCTCTACCCTGATATAACACGACACGATATAACATGAATTCGGATATAACGCGGTAAAGCAGCTCTCCGGGGGGCGCGGGGCTGCGCACTTGGGCGGATCAAAGCACGTTCAATATAACGCGGTTTCACCTATAACGCAGTAAGATTTTTTGGCTCCCAAGGACAGCGTTATATCGGGGTAGAGGTGTATTTCAGTGAGAACTGAGTTTATTTTCAATAAATCCATTCATCCAGCTTACAAGACGACATAGGAAATAAAATATCATTGTCTACTATTTTAACACCTACTCTAGCAGCCAGTGGTGCCAATGGGGGGCAATTTTCCTCCCCCAAGGTTTTCATGGAACTTATAAGCAGTGGTCCCATACTAAATCAGTATGGCTGCTGTCGGAGCAGTCCAGAGGAGGTATAGGTCAGTGGTTCGAGCATTGGCCTGCTAAACCCACGGTTGTGAGCTCAATCCTTGAGGGGGCCATTTAGTGATCTGGGGCAAAAATCTGTCTGGGGATTGGACTAGATGACCTCCTGAGGTCCCTTCCAACCCTGATATTCTAATCACTTGGGCTATGTGTTTGAAATGCCACTGAAATTTGACCCAGACGCTTGACCATACAGATGGAGTGTCAGCTGGGACAAATTTCAACAAGTAGCATTGTGACCTGGTGCACGGGGTTGCAACATGACTCAAATTTGGCCCAGCTGCCCCTCCATCCAGACAAAAGGGTGACTGGGCCAAAGGGTGTTGAGACCTGGTGCATGTGGAGTCTGCCCCAGTACAGGAGGATCTGCCGAGAACTCAACTCATGCATTGTGTGGGTGCAGAGGGGAGACTCCTCAGCCGAGGTGGACTCAGGGTCCCTGCTAGGGTGGGAAGGAAGGGGGATAAACAGGAATAGGGTTCCTGCCACGGAGGACAGGGACTGAAATTTCCCCCCCCACAAAAATATCTGAACTGGAGCAACTGCTAGGAGCATAACTGTCTCAAAAGCCTGCTTCCAGTTTGTGTGTGCCTGTGTCTGAGCAAGACAGTGGGAAGCCTGGTAGTATATGGTGTTCTGTAAGACATGTGGCAATTTTAAACTTCCTACAGAGTCTAACTCTTATAGCACAAATCATTTTTAAATCTAGATTAAAGCCAAATAGAAGACTTGGTTGGGGGGAATAGAGGATGGTGTGTTTTACACATAAGGAATCGGGCCCAAAATGCTGCAACACACATGCCTGTTATAAAGTGCAAGATGTATCTAGCAAACAGCAGTGAAATCTCATTAAATTCAATCCCCACTTAGTTTCTTTACTTAAGCAGGTGTTCTTATTATCAGGGTCCAAATTAAGTGGTGTTGACTGGAAACATGTATGTGGTACTTCAAACTAACTTTTGTATTCCAGGCTAATTATAACAACTTTCTGGTGGACTGTCAAAAGAAAGCAGGGCTATGCTAGACACTGCCACTGAGATCCAATGCTTAATTTTCAAATGGTTTACTGTCCATTTTAAAGGGTAAGTCATGCATTTTCAATGCAGTACACAGGGAATTAATTACACTGTTCCAGTTTATGATAATCAGTTTTGCACACCTATAACTTCACACATCATACTATAACAACGTGCTCCTTAGCATCTACAAAAAGTCCTCTTCCCCAAGTGATAACTCATGGACGATTAGTTTCACTCCAGAATATATCTTCCCATTTAGCTATAAATCCCTTAAAAATAGGACTTTATAATAGAATTGGTGACAGATTGCTGAATACAGCTTTGCAAAAGTGACATGATAATACTGAATTTAAATGAATGCTTTTCTTATAAAGCAGAACATTCGATCTTAAAACAAAAGAACCACTGTTTTCAACTTCACCCATAAAATCTGACCATGCTATCAACTACTTTAGAAACTTACCCTTTTAGACACAGAGCAGTCAGTAGTTACATGCAGGAAGTGATTATAACTATCAACAGATTACCTAGTACAACAGAGCTCATTAATTTCTAATGGAATATTAAATCAGTTCAAATGAAAGGAAAAGCTCTAATGACAAAAGTTATTCCCCTAAATACAGCTCTTTATTCAACTATGTCTCCACTTTGTAATGAAACTATCACTAAAGGTTTCTATCTGACTGGGAACAAAGTGTACTGAGATATAGCTTTTGCCTTTTGGAGATTTGTCTCTCCACCTATCTACTTTCTCCATTATTTAATGCACTCATTGACGAAATCATTAATCTTCTGCTTACATGGCTGACTCCATTTTAAAAATTTCTCAGGGATTGTTACTATTGTACTGATTAGATGACATGGTATTAAAAACACTGGCAACCACAGAAGTTTTATCTACACTAGGGGCCCCACTGTTGTTGCCACAGGTGGAGCTGAACAGGTGCTAGCAACAGTGGAAAATATTTGTCAAAAATCCCAAGGACAGAGACAGTCTAAAAGAAAGATCAGATACAGCTGAGGCCCAGAATAGTTTTATTACTATTTTCAAATAAGTTAAATGTTTTTATTATTTATTTTGTTTATGTTTGTGGGGTTCACAGTGGAGAGGATGTTTAGAAAATATTTAGATGAGAGGTGGGGATGGGTGCATAGGAGATTGAGAGGGCATTCCATACGCATGGGGTAACAAGGTAAAACTTGATGATAAAAGTGACAGAAGGACCTGTGAAAGAACAAAGGGCGAGACTATACAAAATGAGATTAGTTATCTAGGCTGGAGTGGGGTTTTGAAGGTGATGTTACATTTAAGCATGAGGTAGTGGGTGAGTGGGAGCCAGTCTGACAACTCTGGTCTTAATATTTATGAATCTATTCATTCTGTTTACGTCCCAGTTCCTCCAGTGTGACAGTTCCAGATAGTGAATGTATCTGAATATACAGGCCAGATGCTGAGCATCCTATTTTAGAGAAAGCTTCCTTTATTTCTACCACTAAGTTTATCCCTAATCTAAGTGGCTTTCAGATTACTTCTCCCTTCCCCTTGGGCTTTCTGTCCCTGTCTTATTGTGCCAACCAATCTTAATAAATAAAAATAACTAGGGCTGTCGATTAATCGCAGTTAACTCATGCGATTAACTCAAAAAAATTAATTGCCATTAATCGAAGTTTTAATTGCACTGTTAAACAGAATACCAATTGAAATGTATTAAATATTTTGGATGTTCTTCTACATTTTCATATATACTGTATTCTGTGTTGTAACTGAAATCAAAGTGTATATTTTTATTACAAATATTTGCACTGTAAAAATGATAAACAAATAGTATTTTTCAATTCACCTCATACAAGTACTGTAGTGCAATCTCTTTGTCGTGAAAGTGCAACTTACAGATGTAGATTTGTTTTTGTTACATAACTGCACTCCAAAACAAAACAATGTAAAACTTCAGAGCCTACAAGTCCACTCAGTCGTACTTCTTGTTCAGCCAATTGTCAAGACAAACAAGCTTATTTACATTTACAGCAGATAATGCTGCCCTCTTCTTATTTACAATGTCACCAGAAAGTGAGAACAGGAATTTGCATGGCACTTTTATAGTTGGCATTGCAAGATATTTACGTGCCAGATATGCTAAACATTTGTATGCCCCTTCATGCTTTGGCCACCATTCCAGAGGACATGCGTCCATGCTGATGCTCGTTAAAAAATAATTTATTAATTAAATTTGTGACTGAACAACTTGGGGGAGAATTGTATGTCCCCTGTTCTGTTTTATTTCAAGTTATTGCAGTCTCGGATGATGACCCAGCACATGTTCATTTTAAGAACAATTTCACTGCAGATTTCACAAAACGCAAAGAAAGTACCAATGTGAGATTTCTAAGGATAGATACAACACTTGACCCCAGGTTTAAGAATCTGAAGTGCCTTCCAAAATCTGAGAGGGATGAGTGTGGAGCATGCTTTCAGAAGTCTTAAAAGAGCAACACTCCGATGCAAAAACTACAGAACCCGAACCACCAAAAAAAAAAATCAAGCTTTTGCTGGTGGCATCTGACTCAGATAATGAAAATGAACACACGTCGGTCTGCACTGCTTTGGATTGTTATTGAGCAGAGCACATCATCAGCATGGACGCATGTCCCCTGGAATGGTGGGTGAATCATGAAGGGACATACGAATCTTTAGCCGGCTACAATAGTGCCGTGAGAACGCTTGTTCTCACTTTCAGGTGACATCGTAAACAAGAA